TTCTTACATAAATCTTTATTCAGCTTAGATTTGAAGGCACACGACCATAGTTTCAAATTTAATTCAGTGGTGTTGATTCGTGAGACTAATTAGCTAAACGATAAATCAAATATCAGATCAAAACTTAAAACCATCTTGTAACATTCTTGACAATATCTGAAAGTGTCCCATCAAATACATCTGTATTTTGTGTAAGGGAACGAACTGATGAAAGTGTAGTGAATTAATCGATTGTAACTGCAGAGAATGGAAAGCAAAGACAAACAGAACTTATAAAATCAGTGTATGAAAATTACTGTGCCTTCTCAGGCTAACGTTCTCAACTGACATGAATTGTTAAGACTACAGCCTGTCTGAAGTTATTATGCAAATCAATAAACCTCAGTAACTCAAAGATTTCTGAAAAAATATTTGTCAAATTTTCTATCATTTTTAATGGTTAGATTTTTAGATATTAGGAATTTAAGAAAATGGACTTTCTGAATTTAATATGCATATGAAATTAATATTAGCTTAATGAGGTCTAATAAAAGCTACTTTTTCTTTTTGTCCATAATATATATTGAAACATGGGGAAAGGGAAGTATCTAACAACTGCTGAAAAACAGAAAATAACAAAGTTATTGAGTGAGGGAATGTCCACATTGTAGATATCAAAGGAGCTTGCAGAGATCATCGAACGGTAAAGAAGGCTGTTGAAAATATAAGTTGAGAACTCGAAGCAAAGGAAAATAACGTGCTTCCTCAAGATGAACGTAAACTAAAGTGAGTTATAGCGAAACAACCACTTTTGACCAGCCCTCAGTTCTTTGAAATGGCTAGAATTGAGAGAGTCAAGAAGGACAAAAGATGTAGAATACTTTGTAAATTGGGATCTGTAAAAACAAATCTCCTAGGAAACTTCCTCTCACTGAAACAAATATTTTAAAGGCTAAGAAATACATGAAAATTGACATTTCTTAAGTAATTTTCACGGACGAATATCGAGTGATTGAAGTTAATATGCAGATTAAACTAATACTAGATTAAGACCACTGAAGTCTAATAAAAGCTATTTTTCTTTTTGTCCATAATATATATTGAAACATGGATAAAGGGAAGTATGTAACAACTGCTGAAAAACAGAAAATAATAAAGTTATTGAGTGAGGGAATGTCCTCATTGGAGATATTAAATATTTACAGATATCAACAAACGATAAAGAAGGTTTTTGAAAATATAAGTAAGTTGAGAATGCGAAACAAAGGAAAAGGCTTTAAGAACTTGTTTCCTCGAGATGAACATAAACTAAAGCGAGTTATATTGAAACAACCACTTTTGACCAGCGCTCAGATATTTTAAAAGACTGGAATCAGGCCAAAAGATGTACAATACTTTGTAAATTCGGATCCGTAAAAAAAATCTCCTACGAAACTTCCTCTCACTGAAACAGTTATATTAAAGCGTTAAAATTGGTCCAAGAAATACATGAAAATAGTCTTTTCTAAAGTAATTTTCACAGACGAATATCGAGTGACATTTGATGGACTTGACGGATGGGCCAAAGAATTGATTTTATTCAGTTCAGGTGTGGCTGTGGCTAAAGGCAACAAGGAGACGGTAATGTTTTGATATGGGCTGGAATTGTCGACGAAACTATTATTGGAACATTCAAAGTGAATTGTGTAATTATGCAAGACAATGCTCCTTCTCATGTATCTAAGCTTACCCGTGAATTCTTTGAACATAAAAAAATATAGGAGAAAAGATAACGGAATGACTACCAACAAGTTCAGATTTGAATCCGATAAAAAATCTATGGTCAATTGGGAAGATGAAATTACATGAAGGTGGCAAACAATATAATATCAAAGTAGACCTATGGGAAACAATTAAAACTGCCATGTTGGAAATTGAACCTGCTGAAGTAAAAATATAACAAAATCAATGGATGATAGCTTACTGGCTGTTATTGAGAAGTGTCACGATATTAAAGGACTTGTGTGTTTGTTATTTGTTCTATTGAAGGTGTTGATCATATTTTAATGATTTTATTACCTTTTTGCTGAATTAAAATGTGATTATTTGGTTTTGCCTAATAACTTCAGATGATTTTTTTTAGAATACATGTAATAACTTCAATAAAACATATTGATACTGCATAAAATTTTAACTCGAACTTTGTTTTGACATGTAAATTGATTGTTTAAAATTTGATTTTTTTTTCAAACCAAATTTGAACTATTGAAGTTTATATGATTTGCTTAATAACTTCAGACATGGTGTATATTGAACTCATTGCTAAATCAGCTGCCAAGAAATTTGGTTCACTGTGTCGCGCGAGACAATTTCTCTCTCCAGAATTTATCATAAATATCTACTATTGGTCCATTCTTCGAACATTGCTGTCACATATGGTCCGGTGCCCCTGCTATTTACCTTGAGCACCTCGATAAAATCCAAAAAAGAATCAGTAATATTATCGGTTGCCTCTCTTTGTCTTTTCTATAAATACTTTCATGGAATTGCCCGGATAAACTCTTCACTATGGCACCTAGATTTATTTTAATTTTAGCGCAACACGAAACTGAAGTCGAGATCTCATCAACTTACACGTGTGCTAGCTACATGTAACCGTAAATTCTATGTTAACATTTTCTTTTCTCACACATCTCTCTTGTGGAACTCCCTTCAGGTTCCATGCCTTCCAACCAACTTTAATCTGCAAAGATTTAAATGCAATTTTAATCACTATCTACTGTCCTCCTGATTACTTTTTTCCCCTTCCCGTTCAGTAGCAATGCTTCCTTTCTTAATTCTTACGTCCCCAGTAACACCTTGTGTCTTAGTGGCTTTACTGCCTTTCTTGAGGTGAAATCGACTAAAAATATATATAATTTGCAGATGCTGACAACAATAGAAATCTTTTTTTAACTAATTTTATAATTTATTCCGTAATAAATCAATCTGGAATCTTATTTCTTGCGTGATTACACAATTGTACATGTTCATCCCGTTTAAGCCAAACCTATTATCACTTTCGGCTTGTTAACCTTTTCTTGCTATAAGAACAATGTTGATAGAATTCCTGACCATCAAGTCCCAATTCTATCATCAAATAAAAATGATATTTTTTCATGTCTAGTAATTCTGGAATCTACTATATAGTATAGTCCAATAGATTTAGCTACGGGCCCAGAATAAATGAGTACATTAATGATTCTTACGTCAAAAGTCTTCTGAGATTATATACAGAATGACCCCACCAAAAATATTAATCAATGGGCAATTTTTTAGAGCTATTGGGTTCGATGCTAATTTTTAAAAGGGGAGATAACCACTTCAGCAATCTATGACTACGCTTGAAATGCATTGCTGTAAAACAACAATATTTCTTAAACAGTGAAAGAAATATAAATCATCATCTGTAACAAATCATCCCAACATGCTAGATGACGTCATTGTTGACGTAACTTGTTTTCTATTCATTTATTCAGTTAGCGCCTTTTTCTGCCACTGTGGCCACTAGTCCCTACGTTCACACGATTTTAGTTTACGGTGACATTCTAGGCAGAATAATGCAATGACTTGTTGGTTTCTTTTTTTAACTAGGATGTTCAGGTTACCCTTTTCCTCCTCTCATAAGTTAAAGAGGTAAGACCTATAAAGAAGCAGGTGGTTTGAATTATTTTACTTTCCCTAGACCAGCGATGGTATATGGACGCTCTGCGCTGCCTAGACTAAATGCCCCGCTACCATCACATACTCGGTCGTACCGACAAGATCCAATACCCAGAATGTTACATTTAATGCCAGTTTGGCTGCAGGAGTTGCCGGAAAGTTATCAATGTTGACAGCCAATCGCCTCGTAGGCTCCACTCCAGGTTTTCTGTCTGGATTTACTTTTATAGCCTTTTCCGTGTTTTCGACATGGTCGCAGGGCAGCGGTGGTTTAAAACCCGGTTTTTCCTTATCCTAGATGGGCTGCCTTCCTGGGCTGTCGAAGCGGCTGGTTATAAGACGACAGATTTCCGCCTTCACCAATTCTCAGGCTTTGAGCTTGACTTAGTTATCGAAGGTTATTTGAAACGGAAACTTTTTATAGGCAGTAGGAACTTGTCCCACTATCACCTGCCGCCATGACAACATTTGAAACATGATGTACGTATATAAGCATTTATATACATTACGAGTTTTAGAAGTTCAAAAAATTTAACGGCGTAACTTTAGGTAAACAAAAAAAAAACGCAAGACTAGTTACGAAATAGTGCATAAATGAACAAATAAACAGAAATATCGAAAAATTTGTTAATTTTAGAAAACGATAACAGAAACAAAAAATGAAAATATATATCGGGATTTAATCCTAAAATACACGGAGGTTATTAACCATTATTTAACAAACATAAATTTTTTAATTTAGTAAAAATTCTATTATTTACATTATTCGGACTGTTATCCTCATCTTAACCGCCATATTCACATCGTTTCCGACGTTGTACGCTCCGCTTTCTTCAGGTGACTGGAATTTCGAATCGAACTCTTTATTTCGTCCACCGGGGTAGACTGATCTAGTTTCACGTGCCGTGCCTCTTCCTGATATCTCGGTTATATCCCTTTTTCCTCAAATCGCTAAGTTTGCAATTACACATGTCCCAGTGGATAAAGACGTTGGTTAGATCCCGTGATATAATACCAGGCCACAGCAGTGGTGAACCAAAACTTGGAACTTCCAATCACTCGAAGAGGGCCTGAGGGTACAACGACCGAAACATTTTGAATATGGCAATGAAGATGAGGATAACAGTCCGAATAATGTAAATAATGCAAGTAATCATAATACCTCATCTCAGAGCTATAGACAGATAAAAAAATTCTAACATGAGAGATTTTTGGAAAGCTTTAGAGTAATATCGTAAAGTCATAAATAAGCTTTTAACTCGATAGCAGAAATATATACATGCTCTGGAATCTTAATTTGACTGATTTTCTGAACATCCTAATATTTATCTAATACCTATTCAGATAGATAGATAGATAGATAGATAGATAGATAGATAGATAGATAGATAGATAGATAGATAGATCAGAACAAAATTGGATAGATTATTAATGGACATAATAAGATAGATAGATAGATAGATAGATAGATAGATAGATAGATCGGAACAGAATTGGATAGATAGATAGATAGATCGGAACAGAATTGGATAGATAGATAGATAGATAGATAGATAGATAGATATTCTCAAATTCTCCTGAATTTACCATTAAAAAGATATGAAAAGAACAGGCTATAATAGACCCAAATATAATCCACACTTATATACGTTTACCTGTCTTCTTTAAAATGTCCATTTCTATCGACTTATCGGGAGAAATGGATAAACAGAAGCAATAATCGATAAACAGAATTAAAAACACGTCAGCATGTGGATGGATATACATTTTTACTCTCCTTTTTCTCTTATCACCTACTGACTGTTTTACCTCTACAAAAAAAAGCACACAATTATACACTTGCATTTAAATGCGTGCGAACACATGTAAGCCTTCGATCAAGCATTCGCTTAGTAGTGGACTCGATCTTTTTTACCCTCTTTTGTTGCCATTCCCTCTCTTTATTCTCTTTGCCCCCTCTCTTTATCGTTTACTCTGACATTCCTACGTGAGGCGAGGTGCGGCCCGATACGTGCGACGTTTATGCACGTGAATTCAAGAGAAAATAGATGCCAACACGAGGGCCTACGTGCAGGTGCGTGATCACGTTTGTAAAGACAACTTTCTGTTGGCCTTCATTTCGAGCGTAGGAAATGAATTGATGAGAGCGAAAAAAATAAGAAATATAAAAAAAAAAATCACTAGGGAAAGAAAGAAATAGAGAGAAAACCTGTTAAAAATGCTAGCAAAGTAGCGACGAAGTTTAGAAAGAAAGAAAGAAAAGAAAGAAAGAAAGAAAGAAAAATTTGACAATGGGCTGAAGTTCACTACATTGGTCTCGTTCTCTCGTTCTCTCTCTCTCTCTCTCTCTCTCTCTCTCTCTCTCTCTGGCGAGTGGACGGAGCGATTACAGGAGGGACTGTCTACGAAACTCTAGAGCCGAGATGCTGAAGGTAATATAAATCATCTAAGTGATAAATTTTATATTTGTATTAATCCTACAAACACACAAACATATATACGCACACACACACACACACATATATATATACACACACACACACACACACATATATATATATATATATATATATATATATATATATAAAGTTTTAAGAAAACAACAGATATTTATATATATATTGCCCAATATTAAAAGTATTAAAATAATATTAAAAATAGAGCTTTATTGATATTATACGAAAAGATTACATTTAAATATACCTGGCATCAATGTTTCTTGATAAAATAATATATATATATATATATATATATATATATATATATATATATATATATATATATATATATATATATATATTGTTATTTATTTATAATATATGAATCTTTTATAGAGGAGAATTAAATCTTTGTTACTTACAACTGGATTTTCAATGTTTTTTTCTTAGAAAATAACTTGTAGTTTTCGTTTTTTAAAACTTTTTTTTTTCTTACATTGGTACAAAACATAAGCATCAACACGTGGAGATGGAAACAGTTAAAAACTTTTTGTAAAGCTAAGTGAAACCGGTTAAAATAAAAAAAAAGATTTTAAAAAAAGGAAAACACTAAATTATTTTTCGAACAAAAACACTAAAAATCCAATTGTAAGAAACAAAGTTTTAATTCTTCTCTGTAAAAAGTCATCTATTATAAATAAATAACATTATATTAAATATTAGGTTTCTTTTTTTTTTTCCAATTCTCATTTTTGTTAATGAGTTCTTTTACGGAATCTTTCTAATAAAAAGATTTTTACATACACACACACACACACATATATATATATATATATATATATATATATATATATATGTGTGTGTGTGTGTGTGTGTGTGTGTGTGTGTGTGTGTGTGTGGGACAAAGTCCAAGAATTATTTTAAGACATTTTTATGTTTATACATTCTTTTTATAGATAGAAATATTTCAGTAAATGTTCTGTTCATAATAAACAATACTAAACAACATTTACCGGCCTGAATGTCCGATAAATTTTCACAGTATCGAATCCTGTCGGAGGACGAATATTTTTGTGAAAATTTCTCGGATATTCAGGCCGGTAAATGTTGTTTAATATTGTTTATTATAAACAGAGCATTTACTTAAATATTTGTATCTATAAAAAGAATGTATAAACATAAAAATGTCTTAATATATATATATATATATATATATATATATATATATATATATATATATATATATATATAATTAACTGATTTGTTACGTTCGAAAAAAGATTAAATTTAGGTACCCAAACTTAACCCTTTTTTTCGAACGTAACAAATATATGATACAACAAAAGTTAATAAAAATGAACACTCTACCACCCCTTGCCTGGATGATTGGATTTCTCTGTATCCTTGTTAACCGAAAATTATGAATTTCCCTTGTAGTTAAAACTCAGTAAATTTTTAAAAAAAATAAATTATGAATTTCCCTTGTAGTTAAAACTCAGTAAATTTTTAAAAAAATAAGTTACTCCAAAATTCGCTTGAGGATGAAATGGAACTAATGTTTTTAATTTAATTACAAAATTAAATTTAAAGTTTTTGGCTTTCATTTTTGAAACATGGTTATTACTGTGTAGCGAAAAAACATATTTTAAATCATTTAATTTATAATATTAATGCTCTGTAAATTTACATCGAGCACTATTTTGTAAAAAATAAAAATATCAATAAGAACACCGGATTACACATTTTACTGTTCTTTTCTTTTATATATATATATATATATATATATATATATATATATATATATATATATATATATATATATATATATATATATATATATATATTCGTATCTGGCGTAAACAAAGTAATTTATATATTTAGCTAATTTATATATTTAGTTTAGTGGATATGTGTTCGAGTAGAGATCCCTGCTTTATTGATTGTTTTTAACGTCTATACGGCCTGGATATTCTAGAATCTTAATAAAGAAATTTGTCTTCCGGTAAGGTTTGAACCCCTTTTTTATACAAAAAAAAATGGCACACTGCTAAATTTTATTATAAACCTACCGATATGCAAACAAGGTACAAAAGTGTAGATTCATTCAAAAGTACATACTGGTATATACTTACTCATGTATATACGCAAGAAATACGTACAAATCAAATTACATGTGTTGATCCAACCTGCCTATGTGTATAGGTGTGCATTGCAAATGTCTGTGTGTTTTTTATTATATATAGTCTGTTTGGAACAGTCCATAAATGTACGCACTTATTTATATCTCTATGTACGTATGTTATTCTATTTGTTGACGTAAATTTTGTGGGGAGTTAGACGATGGAGTGTCGTTGTAAGGTTCTCAGCCTGACATGCTTCCAAAAATAGGCTGAAAAGACACCAAAACTTTCAGCCCTTACTTTGTATATAACGTTGTTTATATTAAGAAATCCACGCACCGAGTGGTCAATCATATGTATCAATTTGGAAAGAAAGTCATGTCGTATTTAGATATGGAAAAGAAACAAATGCTTCTGTGATTTTGGCATATTCAATTTCCACTAATCATCAAAACTATAATCTTATCTAATGCGTGAGTTGTTGATCTCACCGGCGCAAAATTATTCAGGTTTTGATGCAAAGAAAACGCCTAGTTCTTAAACTCTTCACAATTTATAAACACTTGTTTTTCTTCCAAATAATGTTACAATGATCTGAAAAGATAATAGCCAGATGGAACAAGAACAAAAGAATAAGGGGGCTGATGCAAAAATTGCATATTTAGTGCCATAATCTTTTCTTGAGAGACTCGTGCAATATGTTGTTTTGGCATTGAATACGCATACCGTACTTATGAACACTAATGGGCATAACCCAGTCCTCATAAATACGTTGGACACTAAGTGGGGGAAATATGCTGTCTAAGTAGTCCACCACTAGCAGTGGTTTACCTACATCACGCCGCTGGTGAGTTTTGTATTTTGTTGTTATAAAGATTACCATTTCATTTCCAACCTCCGTTTTAGTTATTCCACATTCAGTAACCCTTTCTAGGTTACATCATCTATCTATCTATCTATCTATCTATCTCACATTGTTATCTATTGTTATATACCATACCTATGAACATTAATGAGTATATCCCAATTCTCATAAATACGTTGGACACTATTGTAAGTGGGGGTAATATGCTGTCTAAGTAGTCCACCAATTGCAGTGGTTTACCTAGTCACGCCGCTGACGAGTTTGTATTTTGTTGATGTTATAAAGATTAACATTTAATTTAAAACCACACTATTGATTATACGTCATCAGTAACCCTTGCTAAGTTACAGCAGGCATTATCTTAACACGGGCACATTTTCTATATTTTTATTTATTGATATATTTGCGTATGTGTGTGTATGTGTGTGTGTGTGTGTGTGTGTGTGTGTGTGTGTGTGTGTGTGTGTGTGTGCAATGCTTCCAAGAGACAACAGTTCTTATCCACATAAATTGTTTTATTTGGCTTTTGCGCTCAATGATAGACGACATCTTTCATTTCTTGTCAAACACTAAGTATAACTCTTTTGGGAGGTGTAACCTTCGTTTGGGAGTAGATTCTTCTTTTTCAGTGGGTGCTAACCATTGTCATTTTCATTGAATATGATTATAGAGAACCCATTTTTCATCACTGTTCATGATTCTTTCCAGAAAAAGTTCTGCAGAAATATTATTCTTCAATAACGACCAGAGGACAACTCTTTGATTTAAGCTGGGAAGCAGTCAGATGATGAGTAACAAAGTTTAAACACATTTTCCGATTTCATGAACGTATTTTATGGCCGAAATGTGATTTGTATTGAAACGTTTTGCTAATCCTCGTGCAGGATGGATCGTAAATGAGAATTTTCCTTAATTATGGTTTACAGAAGCACAATATTGACAGAACTTTGTTGTCTAAATCGAGGGGAAACCGAGAAAAGAATTTCCCGACCGAATCTGAACAAAGCATCATTCGCACGTCTGAACACTTACAGTTTCACTGATGAATATTTCTTTTTGAATTCATACAGCATACAATGTCTTATGTGGTCATTTGAAAAGAGTAAATTCGATACAGAATTTATTCAATCTGATATAATCTGCAAAGAAAAAAAAACATTAGAACGTAAAGATTAATGGTTATTTTATCGCAAGTATTGAAAAAGTAGCCATCGTATCAAAAAAATTTTGGCCCGAACCAAAAACGGACGAAATTACCAAACATCAGAATTTATTTAATCTTTTCTTAATCGGGTCGTGAATTTCTCGTCGTTCATCGTAGCATCACCGTCTTTGGATGGAGATCAGCATTTGGTAAAATTAGTTGCGGTTTTTATTTCCATGACTTCCACCGTCGTTGTAAACTATTTGTTTTACGCCTACCTTTTGTACAAGCTACACATAAAAGTGCGCTAGGGCAAATGATTTTCAATGCTTTATTTGGATATTTTAAACTTGCTGTTTAATCTCTCATTTCGAATAACATTGATTACACTGGTCAAAAAAAAATTGAAATGGTATCGAGACACCAAACATGTTTTTTAGCTAATTTGAGGGCTCTGAATCTGAAAATGACCTTACTTTTTCTTGGTTAGCTACCTTTTTTGCTGTACAGTAATGCCCCATTTTTCGGAAAAAAAAACATTTTTTTCATTTGTTTTCTATATATATGATATTGACCGATGGCAATATTCATCAAAATAAAATCGTTGAAACCTTTCAATTCGTATTTAAACCAACAAATATTGGTACTGAGAAATAATATTTCCGTAATAACAATCAGACTCTAAGTCTTTAAAAATTACACAACAAAATTATTTAATAAACTAACAGCAGAAATAAAACCTTCGTGGACATAAGAACTATGGTGGAAATTTTCTCTTTCTTGATTGTCTGTCATGTTCAATGTTATTTAAGTTCCTTTTGATATTCCAGCAATAGCATGTACAATGGAATAGGTTCATTCAATTGGGATGACTTTAGTTGGAGTTTCTCTCCAGCTGTAAAAACAAAATGCTTGTTTTTCTTCCATAGTGAAGGAATAAAAGTGATGTGATGAATTTATGAATATCAGACAGGTTTTAGGATCTCATTTTTTTATGTCACTTTAATTATCAGGGTTACTAAGGTGTATTACTTATAAAGTTTATCAGTTAATCTGAATTTTGCCGATAAATTGGAAAAATTCTGTACTTCTGTTTTAAAATTTTTGACTCAAAAGTACTATTTTTCTTATAAAAATATAGTTTATATCAGGTGGCTGACATAGACTTCATGGCCTACTTGAAAATTGATGTGTTTCTACGGCCTTTATTAACTAAATTATGCGATCAGCCAAGATTGTAAATTGATCTTTTTGTCCAAAAATAAGGAATTTCAGTACATAAAAAATGACAGCTAACCATTAAAAACTAAGCACATTTTCGGAATCAGCACCATTAAATTAGTTAAAAACATGTTTTGTTCCATGGCACCAAAAATTGAGTTGGCCAGTGTCTTTTACAAGTAATATTTTCTTTCGATTGATGTCAGAATACTCTATATATACTAAAAATATTTTTTATCTTCAATGTTAGAATCAATAAAGAAAAATAGACTAATTTTTTTTTTATTAAAAAATGAACGTCGATATGACATCGGTCACAATGCAATTAAAAGCTATGAAGTTAGTTAAAACTAAACGTTTCTAATGCCATCTAACGACAAGAGAACGAAAAATGTGTCTAACCCAATAAGATTAGTCGAAACGGCATTAACAAACTTGAGCGAGAATTTGAAGAGTAATGGTGTTTTCGATGGTTGGGAAGATGGGTAATGGCGGCTTAGTGGTAATAGGATGAGTGTAAGTTGGGGTTTTGCAAAGGATGGTGTCAGTTCAATGTAAGCGGGACAGAGATCACGACCCAACAAGCCACTGTTCTCCCTCGTCAAATCCGTAGTTCACTGGTCGGACTGAAGCAAAGAAAAGATTCCGTTTTGATTTGTATGCTAATACAGCAAACCTGGCTCACGTATCACACGTCCATTGCTTTCTCGTTTTCCCGCCTTTCCCGTTTTCCCGCTCACTAAGCTCGCGAACGCGGGCATATACCCACCCCATCTCTTGTACACAACACAGTCACATATGTAAGCACACACACACACACACGTACGCACACACACGCACATGCACACACACACATATATTGTGATTTCTAACTTACTGAACTTATACTATGCATTCTAATACTTTTCCCTTTATTCTTTCTTTTTTAGTTGTCTTTGCATATCTTGTGCTCTTTCTTATTTCTTATTTGTTAGTTGTTTAAGTTTTTGGTTCCATACTTATGGATTCAATACTTTCATTATTTCTGACCGAAATTCTCTTTTATCAACCTCAGCATTTTAATTTTCTTCTTTATATTCAACTAAGTCATAAAATATTACTTTTCATAAGAATAACTTTTGTAAAGTTTTTACTCCATACCATTTTCTTATCGAACTTTTCCCTTTAAGTTAAATTTTCTTTTGCCAAGAGTTTATCATATTCTTTTTTTATTATTATTGCTATTATTCAAATCCTGCATGTTTTTCTTACTTTCTTTCAATTTGTAATCACAGAGTTATTTGTTCTCAATTCAAATCCATTTTACCGTGTCTGAATTTCACCAAGATTTTCTTTGCTACAAACTTCTTAATATTCATCTATATATATATAGAGAACAGAGGATGTTTGTGTGTCTGCCTTTTCCTTCAAGATCCATCCAACCTATTTTGAACAAACTTGGCACATACATTATACAATGTAAGAGATAAGTTCTTAAATCGATTTTAAAAAAAACGGTAAAGCCGATCAAAAATCGATAAATTAAACTTTTTGTCCTATTTCGTTCAAACTCGGTATGTAGGTTACTTTCACGATGACGAGCTCAACGATACCTTAGTTTTATTTTTACGCCACTGCGTTTAGCGAAAACCGTGAAAAACGGAATATCAATTTCAAAACAAGTCAATTTCAACAGAAATTTAAACAAAAATCTCCCTCAATTTTCAAGCAGTCTAACACAAATTTCACCAAAATACGTTGATTGTTTAACAGTCATTTAACTTGATAATAAAGTCCACACATATAATAAAAACCCGCGTAAATAGCGAAAAATGTTGATTTTTACTTCTATTTTTTCTTATTTTTCGTTGATCTTTCAACAAATTTTCATCAAACTTAACAATTGCTTTATAAATGTATCCTTTTTTTTTTACATCCCTTGTAGCACACTGACAAATTGAATTTCAAAAACTCCAAAATAATTGCGGTCTGAAGTGGGTCTTCATGTTGCCTCTTTTATCCCTTCATGTCCTCGGCTAACTTCGATTGAATAAATACAGACTACTTCTGTTATATCAGTAATTGCATTAATTCAAAATGTTTTTTTAATGAAATTACTTTAAAGTAATTGAAGATAGACTCTGTTACATCTAAACATGATGCTGTTTTTGCTCCATTCTAATTGAACGCTTTGTCTGATCGACCAGCTGGCTATGGCTGCTAGTATATTAAAATAATGTTATTATTTTTTTTACTACATTCTGTTTTCTCTATTTCGAATTCTCTCTCTTTGTCCTAAAATAAACACATTTCATTTTTAATTCTCTTTCACTTTACCAATTAGTCATTTTCATTTTGCCCGCGTTTTCATTTTAATTTTTCTATTACATAACACTTTACATTTTCTCTGTGCCTTTTTCCTTTTTTCTGTGTACTTTGCAAAATTGTTAGAAAAATATCACTATCTATTGATATATATATATACTTTATATTAGGATATTACATCAAAAATAGGTAAAAAGGCTACACAAATGCAATCATGCTTCGATGTATAGTAACACAGGCGTTAGTAAATAACTGGTGAGTAGACAATTTATTGAGATTTAAAAACAATATAAAACCTCTTTTCGCAAGAAAAGGAAGAAACGTGTCTAGAGTTTTACATGTTTTTCATGTAATATCCTTAAATAAAGAATATATAAAAGAATATAAAAATATTGCTGTACTTTTGTATTGAGCCCTCTTTTGAATTTAATGTTACAAACGTCGGAATTGAATTCTATTGGTTCTCATTTCACATGGATATATATATATATATATATATATATATATATATATATATATATTGGGTTGCTGCTGAGTTTGCTGGTGGGACGGACTGGTCCTGCTGCTATTGGTCTGAGTGTGGGGTCGCTGGGGTTTGGGGTGCTGGTGTGTTCAGATTTTTGTGTATGTATAGCTGCTTTTGTTTCACTCGATTTGTGAACTTTGGGTGGTCCGTGGAGGTTACTTGTTTTGGGTGCAAAAAGGGAAAAATTAATTATTTTTAATAATATGTGTAAATCTCCGCTTTTACCTGAAGACGGTCGCGAGACCAGAAACCCGTGTAGTAAAATTATGTAAAACAAAGCATAATATTTTTTTCTAAATAAATCCACATTACAACCAAAAACGTTTGTGGCACCTCTCTTCTTTTTAATATACATACTTTTCTCTCGTTGGAACCACTACAACCTCTTTCTTTTATATATATATATATATATATATATATATATATATATATAAAGAAAGAACAGTAAGATATATAATCCGGTGTTCTTATAGATATTTTTATTTTTACAAAATAGTGCTCAATGTAAATTTACAGAGCATTAATATTATAAATTAATTGATTTAAAATATGTTTTTTCCGCTACACAGTTCTAACCATGTTTCAAAAATAGAAGCTAAAAAGCCCTGAATTTAATTTTGCAATTAAATTAAAAAGCATTAGTTCCATTTCATCCTCAAGCGAATATATATATATATATATATATATATATATATATATATATATATATATATATATATATATGGGGGATGTTTAATAGTATTCGAAACAAATTCTAAGATGATGAGACATAGTGGGAAATTTTATTAACGACGTGTTTCACCAGAGAACGCATGCTCTTTTTTTTTCCTTTACTAAATTAAAATGAAAGAAAAAAAAAAAATGCGCACGAAGGACATGCCTTGGGATCTCTGAGGATAAGTGGGAATTATAAATCAAATTAACTACCTTAGCTTATCGCGTCCCAATATCCAAACTTAAGGAGTGTCTGCCCGCCCGTGTCTTTATTTGTCTTATCTATATCTATATTAGAACGGTTTGGTGTTGAAAGATTTTAAATCAGATTTTATTTGCCTCACATATAGACATAAATCTATCAAGTTATATAGTTTACAAACTTTATTTACCTAAATATGTGTGTGTGCGTCTGTTTGCATGTATGTGTGTGTGTCTTTTGGGGGCCTATGATATTTTTGTGTGTGAGTGCCTTTGTGTGTGTCTTTTGGGGCGGGTGATATTTTTGTGTGTGTTTATCTTTGTGTGTGTGTGTTTGCGTGTGTGCGTCTTTTGGGGGCGTGTAAATTTTGTCCCTGTGTGTGTATGTGTGTCTCCGTGTGCGTGTGTTTGCGTGTGTGTATCTTTTGGGAGCATGTGATATTTTTGTGTGTGGGGGCTTTTGTGTGTGTCTTTTGGGGCGGGTGATATTTTTGTGTGTGTTTGTCTTTGTGTGTGTGTTTGCGTGTGTGTGTGTGTATTTGGGGCGTGTGAAATTTGTGTTTGTGTGTATGTCTTCGTGTGCGTGTGTGTTTGCGTGTGTGTGTGAGTGTCTTTGTGTGTGTGTGTGTGTGTGTGTGTGTGTGTGTGTGTGTGTGTGTGTGTGTGTGTGTGTGTGTGTGTGTGTGTGTGTGTGTATGTGTGTGTATGATTGCTTCGTTCACCCATTATTAAATCGTCATATAGTGTCACTTGTGTATGCAGCTTCATCATCGAACTCGATTGATAAAGTAGACAACCAATGGTTAGCCTCAATTCTAGTTTGAACCTCGTTGTCATGCACAATGAGTGAATGAAAGCCGATGGACTGAATAAAGCTCAACGTCCCGTCAATTGCCTTCTCATTTATGAATATCCGAATACGAATAAGCATTTCTGTTTGAAAGCCAGTGAAACACTTTTGAATACAAATATATTTCCTTTTGCAAAGACTTTTTCACGGATCCATATTTATTCTTTTTCATGCGTTTTTTTTTTTTTTTTTTTTTCTCGTACTTTCTTCATTTTCTCTTTCTAGGTTTAGTTTTGTGATTTTATTCAATTTAACTTCACCCGCTGCAGACACGATCTCATTTAAAACTAATACCGATGCAAATAATAATGTGAATCACTCTATCTAAATTTTATTTTCCATTTCTTTGACTGTTAATATAATTATTATATTATTTCTTCAAATATTTTCAGCCATTATGCTTTAGTATTTCTTTTCTCTATCTTCCTTTTACTAATGTCATTATTATTACCTTGCTTTTCTGCCACATATTGTTACTGATATTCCACATCTTACTGCCCATTTCATTCATTTTCTTTTGCCTTTTCTCTTACCCGTTTCTATCATTTCCTTTCTCCTTCAATATCACCGACTGTCAATCTTCTTTTTTCTACTCTGCATACGCGGAAAAAATGTATTGATTTTATAAAGCCTTTACAATTTTTTTCTTTTTTCGTCTTCCTTTTTTTTACTGCATTAGCTCGTTAGTTTTCGTTGATGATGGACGTAATGAACTTTCGGAGAATATTGCATGTTGGAAGTCAAAGTCGTATAAATTTGAAGAAATAAAAGAGGAAGAAAAATAATAAAGTAACAATAAACAAAATGTCTTTTTTTGTTTTGTTTTTGTTTTTTTTGGTGGGGGTTCTATCCTCTGCCAGCCGCAAGGATGGAGAAAGCATTACCACGCTGCAAGACCCACTCCGTTTCGGGAGTCTCGTCACTTGATCGAGACGACATCCCACCAACTCTCCGAAGGAACGCAATCGAACGAGGGCCAATGAACCCAGAAGTCTCCACTGCCATAGGAGTAAAAAAAAAAGAACATCTATCAGCAAGAGAAGAATATTTAACTATTTTTTAATCTCCGTGTCCCCTGCGACCGATCCCGGCTCAATCGCGGACCTGATCAAATTACCGGTCGAAAATATATCGGCACTGGTAGCATTCCAAATCAACGACTTCCTCATTTTAAAAGGAAAAATGGTAATGCTACCCGGCCGCTTTCCATCACCACGGCCGAGGCCTACAGGTTCGATTTGGGAAGAAAAACCAGCTTCATCTAGACCTCTTTTATGATGTCGTTTATTGCTGCATGTCTTAGAAAGCGACCGGCACTACGACGACAGGAAAGAGGATGAGAAAATCATTTAGATATTAAATAATAGGAAGAGAAAATTTGACAAATGAATGAGAAACCGATTATATTTTGAAGTGCTTCACCATATCTAATCAATACAGATAGTTTTTTTTTTGTTTTGTTTTTTTTAATGTGCATATACTTAGGAGGGAGATCAATGAATAGAGTCTCGGAGTGAGGAATCGGAGTTCCCAGTTCGAATTCCAGTCGAATCATTACGCGCTAATACCATTAGGAAAGGTATGAATCCTCTTCTGTTATCATATTTTTACTACATTTTGTTTTTTTCTATTTCGAATTCTTTCTCTTTGTCCTAAAATAAACACATTTTATTTTTAATTCTCTTTCACTTTACCAATTAGTCATTTTCATTTGGCCTGCGTTTTCATTCTAATTTTTCTATTACATAACACTTTACATTTTCTCTGTGCCTTTTTCCTTTTTTCTGTGTACTTTGCAAAATTGTTAGAAAATATCACTCTAAAATTTCACTATATATATATATATATATATATATATATACTTTATTTTAGGATATTACATCAAAAATAGGTAAAAACGCTACACAAAAAACAGCATCACGTTTAGATGTAACAGAGTCTATCTTCAATTACTTTAAAGTAATTTCATTAAAAACACATTTTGAATTAATGCAATTACTGATATAACAGAAGTAGTCTGTATTTATTCAATCGAAGTTAGCCGAGGACATGAAGGGATAAAACAGGCAACATGAAGACCCACTTCAGACCACGTTATGGGTAAATAGCCTTGGATGGCAACTGGTCTGACAACTCTGAATTAAAAACCTGCGGAGGGTCGATTGGAAACCGTGTGGTACGTTGTGCACCAGATCTTTGTATCCGACCCTTCATAAAGTGTGGTTGGTTCTGCAAAGTCTCCACCACTATAATCAAATCATATGTGATGGTGTCTGGCTGTCTGTTCCTTGGAACTTAGTCACCTGACTCTCATACATCGTAAAAGTGTCCCCGGTAGGTGCAGGTCCACAGCCCGCGTCGATCCACGACGGGAGAGTCCACGATGCTTAGAGGTATGTTGAAATGAGTGACTAACTGCATTAAGGAGAATTTGCTTCTACGAACAACATAAGATATGCAGACGACACGGTGTTGATAGCAGACGTAGAAAGGAAACTACAAGAACTCCTGTAGAAGCTAATGAAGGAAAGCGGGAAGAAAGGACTAAACATCAACTGCAAGAAGATAAAACGCAACGCTGTTAGCAAAAGGAATAAACAAACAGACAAATTACAAATTGGGGATAGCAAATTAAACAAATAGAATTTAAATATCTGGGAAGTGTTTGGCTAACTTCAATTATTTACATTATTCAAACCATTATCCACATCTTCATTGCCATATTCACAACGTTTCGGCCGTTTTATGCTCCGGCCTTCTTCAGATGATTGGAATAACTGAGACATCTGGAAGAGGCATGGCACGTGGAACTAAAACAATCTACCCTGGTGGAAGAATTAAATGGTTAGATTCGAAATTCCAATCACCTGAAGAAGGCCCGAGCTTACAACGGCCGAAACGTTGCAAATATGGCAATAAAGATGAGGATATCAGTCCGAATAATGTAAATAATTTAAGTTAAACAAACAATGTTGGTCACATTTTCTGGAGACAGTTATATTTATACTAGCAGCATGGCCCGGCGTTGCCCGTGCTCGATTCAAAAATCGTACGACTCATACAGCAATCGCTACCAGTTGAATTAAAATATTTTTGCCCTTCCTTGCCTTTAAAGTAGTGCCCTTTGCCGTGCTGATGTTGCTACATGCCTTACTTCTTGCCTATCTCACACTGCGAATTTTTTCTAAGCTGTAAACATTAAATCTGTTACGAAAAAAGAACTAAACAAAATGAACACAAAACGATCAGCTTTTAAAAAAAAACTCGTAACTGGAAAAACCGAATGAAAAAAGAATGTTAACAACAAATACTTTTTCACAATCAACCCAGTTTTGTGGAATCAGAATCAACGTTGAGTTTAAGCAAACGAATGAGCCAATTGGAGTAAAGTGCCATGCAGATTTAAATTTTTCCCACTTGTGACGAATGCAGCTATCGATTTTTTTTTTTGCATGCTAGCATGCTAGTTAACATTTGTGTCAGTCAGCTGTTGGCTCTCACGCTAACCAATCTTCCTGCCTATTCGTGGCAGCCAGCTATAGGCTCTCACTCTGGCCAGTAGAAAATGGCTGCAAACTACATGAAAACTGCCGTAGAAGCATGAAAAATCGATTATTTCCACTATCGATGGGAGTTGGGAAATGCAAAGTTGTTCTTGGCCTTTCCCGCTCACTTGTAGCATGTGCATGTAAATTTTGGTGTAAATCCGTCGAAAATTGAGGCCGTGCATTCGTTACACACACACACACACACACACACACACACACACAAACACACACACACACACACACATCCTGCCTTTTATAGATAGAGATGATAAATATAATATGGAAATCCCTGTATGAATATGTGTGTGTGTGTGCGTCGTGTTGAGTTTGTATTTAGTCATTTTAAACACAGTTTCTTTTACTTTTCAGATTTAAATAAATTCACAAAATATATATACATATTTATTTATATTTGTGTGTATGTGTGAGTGTGTTAATGGGCAATCACTGGTATATGTGTACATGTACGAATTAGTGCAGAAAGTGTTTGTGTGCGCTTACACATAAATATATGTACAGAAGTTGTAATTTATGTGTTTCTGGAGTACGTATTTGTTTAAGACGTCGTGCATTTTAAATTAAGCACTTGGGCGGGTAAATGCGCATGCGTGGACCTGTGTGAACAGTTCATGCGCATCGGAGCAGGTCTACATCTCAATATAAATAGTGAATTCGAACGAGTTGACAGTTTGTGAAGCGCCCCGTTTTCGCAGCGAAATACGAGGAACGTTATCATTACCGACAACTCTCCAGTCGCGTCCTCACGATGAATTGGACACATTTATAAAAATTCTTCTTCTTCTTCTTTTTCTTCTTCTTATTCATCTTCTCCTCCTCTTCTTCTTCGTTCGCAGCTCGACTATATACGGAAATACTTTATAAATACTTCCTGCCTGAACAATAATTACTCATTTGTACGCACATCACATTCACAAATACAGACTTGATTTAGCAGGCCAAAATATACACGTGAAAATAAATATCATTCCCGTGTTTTAAGTCGTTGTCGAATTAGTTTAACATTTTATATATCCAGCGAATAGAACTCTAGAATGAATGTGTTTTCTGCTCAGTGGGAAAACCTCGGCTTCATAGCTTATTTATAGTTGCTAAATGACTTAAAATGATTGTAGTATTCATATCTATACCTATGCATTCTCTTTTATTTCTGTCTCTCATAGTCACAAACAAATGACAAGATTAAGATAAAGATAGTTAAGAATTAAGAATAGAATCATGTTTAAATACTCAGAGCTTTTGTCTTTTCAAAGAACATGGAATTCCTTATTGTGATATCAGTTCCGTTATTCTGCTGTCGCAATTATTAATGCATTTGGATGGAAACTGAACAGAACTCATAAGAGAATTTCAAAAACACCCTTTGCAACGGAACATCTGCAGTTTTTATTGCTAATGAATTCTCAGTTTGTGGCTTCTAGTTATAAGTGACATTACAACGGCTGAGCTTTTTGCAATGGATAATAAATAATTTATCAGAGAAACAAAATAACGCTAAGTCGTTGGAATTTGATG